ACGCAGCCGGACAAGAAACCAAAAAATAAGGGCAAACGCGCAGATGTAATCCGAATTATCGCAGACGTTGCTGATGTGCCCGAAGAAGAATTAGATAGCGACACGCGTCTCGCTGATATCGCAATCGACTCTCTGGGTGCTACCGAAATAGTGGGCGACATTGCTACGAAGTTGGGTGTGATAGTCGACCTCACCACATTCTCAAACTTTGAAGATATCAGTGCCATAGTTGCCCATGTTGACAGTCAACTTGGGCTACAATGCGGGACCGAGAACGATGCTGAGGACGATGGGATTAGAAACCCATCCTCAGTAGAGCCACAACGCTTTATGGCAAACGGGTTGGCCCCCAACCAGTCCTGCGAAGAAACAGAGGACAGTCCAAGCGACGCCATTCTAAGTACGAGTTCCGCAGTGGTGCCAGCTATTACCTCGATCGACAAACTGTTTGACGATGTTCGTCTCAGCTTCGACGAACTTGGCGCAGCAAAACATGCGCTCGAATATTGGTCCGACATATACCCAGACGATAAACGTTTGATTTTGGCGTATACTGTAGAGGCTTTCAAAAACCTTGGCTGCGATCTGCAAACATTGAGACCCGGACAGCCGGTACCTGAAATCGTGGGAATTCTGCCTCGACACCAACAGCTGGTAAATCTGCTCCACCAGTTCTTGAAAGAAGAGAACATCATCATCTCGACGGGCGATGATATCTTTTCCCGGACCAGTAAAAGGATAGAAACTGCGACCGGTGAAATGATATTCAACGAGATTCTGGGCAAGCATCCACACAACGCCGCAATCCGTCAACTTCTGCATGCCGTCGGGCCGTACCTAGAAGCCTGTCTTGTAGGAAAAATGGACGCGCTGCAGATCCTGTTCGGAAACCGGGCAAACAAAAAGTGGCTAGACGAGGTGTACAGAGACTGGCCCATGCTAGTGACTGCCACACAGCTTCTTGGCGATTTCCTCTGCCGGGCTTTCACTCAAGCAGAATCAAATACGGACACAAAAGTCCCACGAAATGGTTGCTTCCGTGTCCTTGAGGTTGGGGCGGGAACAGGAGGCACAACACGCCACATTGTGAGCCTCTTGAAAGACCGCGGTATTCCCTTTGAGTATCGCTTTACCGACATATCACCAACGCTTGTGCAAAAGGCCAAGGCTTCCTTCAAAGACATCAGTGGTATGAGTTTTGGCGTCATGGACATTGAGAAAGAGCCTGAAGTAGAGTTCGTCGAGGCGTTCCATGTCATTATATCAACCAACTGTATCCATGCGACCAGGAATATCTCGTTGAGTCTGGCCAATCTCCGCAAGATGCTTCGTCAGGACGGCGCTCTTGCACTGATTGAAATGACCCCAACACGCCCGCTTTACGTGTTTGATGTCATAGTTGGTCTCCTTGAGGGCTGGTGGCTTTTTGAAGACGGTCGTAAGCACGCGCTGGCAAGTATCGAGCGTTGGGAGCAGGCTTTCATGGAGGCCGGCTTTCGTCATGTGCTCTGGTCCGATGGATCGAGTCTAGAGGCCAGGACAGTTCGCGTTGTCTGCGGGTTCCAATCCCAGCAAAACGCGGCTACACAAAAACGGTCGAAGATAATGGCCACCGCTGACAAAAAGAATACGAAAGAAGTTCCCCAGACTGGTGCTCACATACAAGAGGTGGTGTACAAGACGGTGGGGTCTCAAGATATACATGCAGACATTTACTGTCCACATCAAGCGGACCCGACGAAGAAGATGCCAATTGGTACGTTTCAAACAGCTAATTGAAAATTGAGATTCGTACTGTTAAAGAAAATCAAAGTCTGCGCACTCACTTATGCATATGCTCAGCCCTAATGATACATGGCGGTAGCCATATTCTCTTTTCCCGAAAAGATGTCCGAGATCCACAAACGCGCATCATGCTGGATATGGGACTTCTTCCCGTCAGTCTCGACCACCGACTCTGCCCGGAAACTCGGCTAGCACAGGGGCCGATGGTAGATGTCTGTGATGCGGTTGAGTGGGCCAGGGTGAAGCTACCACACATCAAGCTAGCGAATGCAGATATTAAGCCTGATCCTGATAATATCGTCGTCATAGGCTGGTCCTCAGGAGGGCAACTAGCATTGTCAACAGGCTGGACGACTCTAGGGAAAGGTATTCGACCTCCTAATGCCATTCTGGCCTTCTACTGCCCTACTGATTATGAGGACGACTGTAAGTCAGATCGACGTTCGGTATAATCTTGTTCATCAACCTATGTATCAACATGCTAACACCGAGGAACCGCCAGGGTGGAGGAATCCGATCCAGCCCATTGGAGCAGCGGATCAGGGGCAAGAGTACGATGTACTCGAAGCAGTGCAAAAGGAGCCCGTAAGTCTCTTGATACTTCTCTAGCAACGCCTAAATCAATGGCGAAAGATAAAAAACTCAGATCCTGAATATGGAAAATACAGATTACGAACTACAGTGTCATTGGCGCTTGGGAGCCTCTATCTGACCTACGTATACATACCGATCCTCGCGCTCGCATCGTTTTACACATGAACTGGAAGGCACAGACACTACCGGTCGTCATCGGTGGCTTACCTAGCAAGAGCTCTGCGGCATCTAAAAGACCTGGTGTCAACTGGAACGCATTGCCACAGCCCCCAGTGGATGAAATTCAATGTTGCAGCCCGTTGGCCCAAGTTCGAAAGGGCAACTATGTAACGCCGACATTCTTGGTCCATGGCGAGGCAGATGATCTCATTCCGTGGCAACAGTCCCTCCGCACAATTCAGGAGATAAAGCAACGCGGCGTGGATGGTCAGCTGGTCTTGGTACCTGGGGCGCCGCATATTTGTGACACGAGCCGAGACCCCGCAGCGCCAGGGTGGCAAGCCGTGTTAGAAGCCTACCGATGGTTAAGGGACTACGCTTTCTCTAACAAGTAGATTGGATCTGACAGATCTTACAATGTAGTGTACATAGAAGATAAATGACAAAGATACGAGATGATTAGGAAAAGTTATTGCATGATACGCACTACAGATTTCCCCTTTGGCCAGACAACGTCGTTCAAACTATGAGCTTCACATCGCAGGAGTTCGCCAAAGAATATGAGGCCTTTTTCGGCGCCTAGTTTCAGCCTGGACATAAGAAAAAATATATCCTGGTCTCTGCATGGTCGTCACTTCCATTCTTGGACGTCTAAACTTTTGTGGCTGGCTGCCGTACGCCACATCTCCTTAGTCGCGGCTCGAACGCACCCGTTAGCGTTACTGCCGCCTCCCTCCGGTCTAAAGTGGCTAAAGTATAGAAATACTAGGGCCCTGATCGGCAACGGCGGCGAAGTTAGATAACAGCCCGTACCTCAAATAAGGAGTACTTACTGCTTATATAAGCGCATTAAGTTAAACCTTAACTAGGTAAAATGTACCAGACCATCCCTGTAACCCTAACCCTAATTTTCAAAAGTTAATAAAACGTATTTTATAGCACTTTTATAATATATAACCCTAACCCTTGCTTAGTTATTATTATATCTAAGTGTTAGATAGCTTATAGGCACCTCATAAGGACCTTATAACAAAATAGGTGGCAGCAGGGCAGTTATCTAGTATTTCCCCCTCAAATAAGGGGCCTAGAAGTCATTCTTATCCAGGTACGTGTTGAAATGGCAAGGTTTTGCATGGGCGAACTCTGCTGATGAAAAAGGGCCCCTTTTTGGCCTAGCGCTGCATTTATTCAGTTTCTGACTAATATTTCCCCTCACGTTATCCAAGTTGGCGCGTTATCCAACATTCCCGCCGTTGCCGATCACGGCCTAGATTGCTTTTCAACATCCTTCGTTAGTGGCTAGCTGAGTTGAACTGATCGGTATGTAAGTGGCGGCCGGCTGAGCGGGCTGGGCTTCTAATAGGTCCACACTTAACCACCAGTAAACACAGACTTGATCTATCACATTTACAGACTCTCAAATAAGCAAGGTTTCACGGATTCTCTTATGCACCTACTTTCACTATTTCCATCGAGCTTTCGCGGGTTTAGCTTATAAAACCGGTACGAAATTGTGACTAAAAGACTAGTTATACATGTCGTTTGAAAACACAATAAACGTTTACTAAACAAATGCTTTCTTATTTGTCTGGCATGTCCAGACATATAATTGTGTTGAGGAAGTTTTGGGATGTCCTTGAAACCCGTCGTCAACAGCAGCATGTGGTAAACACTCGGCAGCGTATCAGAAAAGCCTGATTCAAGCCAGTCACATATGCTTTGTCTTGGTCCAAAGGTCAGAAAATAACTTTAGTCTCAGCGATCCTTCATAAAATACATCGCGAGTATGCACGTGGTGACTATCATCATTAAGTCTGCATCGCTCTCGGACATGTATTGCAATATCTCAGCCCCTGCCTGGCATTCCATCCAAGAACTAGAAAGACTCAGTAGTGGACTCCTTGGAATAATTCTTACAACGGAGTTTTCGGCTCTCTTCTCAGTAATCAAGTGATCTTATAGATTTAAGCGTGGTGGAGTGATTCCCTTGCAATGATGGCTCAAACCAATACGAAGTCACTCTGCGCCGCACAAATCAGTTACATGACTTCAGAAAGATAATGCTCCATTAAAAAAAAGTATATGAAAGCTATTTAGGTCTAGAGAAACTTTATGTAGTAACCAGAATGCAAAACGCCCCATTTAATCTTTCGAAAGCACATTTATCACCTCAGCTGCGGCTGAAATAGATAGAAGAAATGATCTTCCCGGGAGAAAGACAGGTTAGCAAGTACTAGTACTTTGGTCCCGAGTATTATACGACTTTTTTTGGTGTAGTGTCTAATACAGGTTGTAGAATGATTCAGGAGAAATCGAACAGCAGACGACAGAACACTAGTCCAATCTGCAAAACTGAACAAGGCCCAAATGGAGCAACATATAAAGACCTCCATAACCCTCGATATTACCTTTCTCTTCCACTCACCACTATCCACAATCAGTTCACACTCTCAGTAGACGCTCTCACCTCAAGTTTCATCTCAGCCATTCGGTTTCTTGGGATTACTCTCGCTCTTGTCACTCTTTACTATCAGCCCTTATAACATAAAGTCATCCATTCAAACGAAATGTCTTACAACGCTCCTGCTACTGCTCGCGCCGCTGTGTGGAGCCTGAAGTCCTCCAACCCTGATCTCCCCGCGGAGTCGGCCATCTTGCCTGATGATGGCAGTAATGGGACCGAGTCTGTCTTTGAGAATGACAATCGCCGTCTCGTTGACATCAAGGACTTTGCTGATGGCGGCAAATTCCGATGTAAGCTTGCCCGTATTCTGAGATCGGGGTCAAGAAGATACCGTGCCACTGTATATGTCAATACGCTAACATTATTTCTAGCTATCGTCAAGATCCAAGCTTGCTTCAACAAGCGACCAGGTGAAAGTGTTTGGATGATGGGTTCCGGCTGGCTAATCAGCCCGGATACCGTTGTTACAGCCGGACATGTGGTCTACGATTGGGGTCACCGCCTTCAGAGTGCTACCGAGATCAAGTGCTACATTGGGTACTCTGGTCGTGCTTCCGTCAGCACTCCCGTTGTCCAAGCTCGCTTTGGAGAGCGGATAATAACTACGGCTAAATGGGTTGAGGCTCCTGGAAACAGAGCCAACGATGTCGCATTCATCAAGGTTAATCGACCTTTCACGGGCAACCTCAGGAACATCCCTTTTAAGGAAACTCCTCTTTCTTCAAATGGGGTCACCTTGGGTGTTGTTGGATATCCTGGAGACAAGTACCTTGAGGGCCAGAACGGACAGAATATAGAAAAGGGTGCCCGGATGTACGAGGAGTTCGCGCCCACTAGCTATGATATTGGGAAGAGCGAGCGCCACATGGTTGAGTACGGAGTCTCGACCTTTGCAGGTACGTGGAGGGTTATCTAATTAGGTCCTGCAAGATGGTTGACTAATGATCATTCAACACCAGGTCAATCCGGCGCTCCAATCCTCCAGGCCACCAACAACTCTTTGGTGGCCATTGGCACCCACTGCTATGGTGGCGGCGGCGACGAAAGCAATTCTGGCAACTCTATTGGCGGCATTTATGGAAACAACTACCACGCCTTTCTCGCGCTTTTCGATAGCAGCCAATTCCCCGACTCTCAGCGCTCTGGCATCAAGGTGATCGATGCCGATACCAACTCTCGTCCTCGTGTTGAGGTCCGGAACATCAATGGTAACATCTACAACGGTCACAACGGTTACAGCGGCACCAATGGCGCCAACGGTTACAACGGCGCGAACGGCTACTACAACAACAATAACAACGGCTACAACGGCCTTCGCGTAGATGCCGCGGTCTCGCCCTTGGGGGAGATCAAGTACAGCTCGGGCGCAAGTCTTCAGGAAAGCTCAGATGAGGAAGGCTTCTTCGATATCATCAAGTCAATTGCGAAGGTCGCGGGACCTGTCGTATCAGGTGTCACTCCCTTCCTTGGGCCTATTGGCGGTCCCATCGGTGCGATAGCCGGTGGCATCCTCTCGACTGTAGGCGGAGCTGAGAGTGCCCTCGTTGATGGAAATACATCAAACGCAGTCGACAATTCCATCAACTCGGGGGCTACCGAGAGAGCAATACTTGCCGAGGCTTCTCTTCAAGCACTTTTGGAGCTAGAAGACTCCCAAGAGACAGCCGAGGTTCTTAGCAGAATCAACTCCAAGTATAACGCATTCAGACCCAAGCTGGATGCAATTGCGAAAGTTTCTCAGCCCTACCTCACTGAGGCTGGACTTTATTTGGCTCATCGCCAAATCGCACAGTTACAGGAGAAGGGTATGTTGGGAACACAAGAGTCCGAAATTGAGCTCCCTCGCGTTCCTTTGCAAGGAGTCAACCGATCGACCTTGTCTCGCTACGAGGGTCAGCAAGAAGCTTTTGTCCAGGGCCTCTTGGCGCCCACGCGGCCAGTTTCGAACGAAGAAGGGTTTTTGGACTTCCTTGGACCCGTGCTATCCAAGGGAATCAGCTTCGCCAAACCATTCATTGCAAGCGCAGCCCAGGGAGCACTTGGAGGCGTTCTCAATCGTCTTGGTGGTGGCGCAGAGTCTTCTTTCGACGCACCCCCAGGTACTCATGAGCATGCCACCCTTCTTGCTTTCAAGCGCGCCGCCGCAGCGGAGGCTGCTTTGCAGACTCTCATGGAACTACCTAAGCACAAGCTTGACCGTCTCTACGTCAGCAGTCCTCGAGCTGACGAGGAAAGCATCTTTGACGTCATCAAGGCCGGCGTTCAGAAGATTGCTCCAGCTGTCATCGACATCGCCAAGACGGCTGTGCGTAAGGTCGTGCCTGTCATTGTTGACGCTGCATCGCAGAGGATCAAAGACGCTGTGGAGCCAGAGAGAAGTTCGGCTACCCAGAACAACCCAGGCTCATACGGCCTCAACCCAGCGTCTCAAACGAATGTCATTCGAACCAAGCCGTCCGTGAGGGACATGTTTGTGCAGGCCTCCAAGGGCACGAAGGTGAGCGAGAACCCAGATGACTTGGAGCCCAAAGAGGAATACATCCTGAACACTATCCTCGAGGACATACTGAAGTCGCGTGAGACCACTTGGGTGCCCTCGCTTCACAAGCGAAAGTCCTGGGACTCAAACGATGACGGTTTATGCATGATGGATGAGGAGCCGCTCTAACGATGATAATCTGAATAAACTTACTAATTTCTTTTGGAACTATGGCAGACTATTCTTACGTACTAGTGGGACTAAAGGCTCTCCGTTGCCCGCTGCTCTGTTGTGACGGTGGTCGGGCCAACTGAGTGTCAAGCGGCCATACAAACCAATACGCCATCACCAACTGTCAGCTTCACCTATACTACACAATTTTCTCTTCCTGTTGCTCAAGGTTACGTTTTCTTTTCAATTAGGTTGATTAGCTACATCGCCCTTTCCCCTTTGGATTCACTATGGATTGCGCTACAAATAGAATTTCAGCTAAGCCTACAAGCAACGACCCCTGCGACGTGATGAACCATGACCAAATGTTGGGCGCAGCTACTGGCTTAATAATACTCTACAGAAGTTGACAATTGCAAACATACGCCGAGACGAACATTCTAGAGAAGACAGCAACAATGACAGCCAGAGTGTGAGGTCTAATTAAAGTAAAGGAAAAAGCAAAGAAGTAGGAGAGGTATGATTGTATCTTCCTGTGCTGCTACTTTCCTTGTTCTCTGGAGCTGCAAGCAAGATTGATAAATATCAAAACAACAAAAAACATACAACACCAGGTATTCGCTGGTCGTCACCGACCCAACTACTAATCCGGCCCTCACTGGCTTATCTATGGGAGAGCGGACGGGATCCCGAGTTCTCCAGTGGGTATGGTCGTATGTGACATAATCGAGTAGAATTTTGGAATATGAACTATGTCAATACCTCACTTGAACCGTATAGATGGAGCGAAGAAGTGATAGCTTCGCCAACCCAAAGTGGTGGGCACCATTCCCACAAACGGACGGTACGGAATATAGTTTGGCCGTTCAACCCTGTTTCGGACGGTGAGGATACCGTCGGTCTCGTCTCGAGACACCGAGGAGCAACTCCAACCCCCGGGCGTATGTGTCAAGACATTCGTTCTGGAAAGCAATCCAAGGGTCTCTACTTCCACACCGCCGCTACAGTGAAACGCTTTCTATCGGCAAGAAGCAAATGATCAAGTGTGAGGCGATCGGAAGCATGGCTGGCACAAATCCGATGCCCGTCGCCATCGCAAGAGAGGTAACAGAATAACCTGACAGAGATGCAATCAACCGGGCGACGATACCGCCGCAATTATCAAGCAGACGACCATCACAGAGCGTGTGGGTGACGAACGCAGTAAGACAAATGAAACCTTTACACTCACGACAATGGCCCTGACGCGGCAGCCTAAGCCTCTCATCCCTTTAAATGCCAGATGTGTACATTCGTGCCGACCTTCAAGGTGTTGAGTACTGAACATGGCATTTTATTGTTTCTTGTGGTGAATACTCATAGTGTACCTGTGCGACCCTACGGGGGAACGTCTTGGATCGTCTCGATATCTATCGCGGGGAATATACGAGCCACCAGCGGGGCATTTCTTATGGGCCCCGCCCACACATATGCGGTATTCATTGGCCCCTGGGCACACGAGATACGGCAGGATAGTTAGAAGAATCAACGCACCATTCTGACTAGTATGTGAACCCATATAGCGACTGGGACAATACCTTATGATCTCTCTCGCATTTGGATACTGCCCCTCCTGTAGGTCCGGTCAGCTACAAGGCCAAGTGCGCATTTTGTGCTTTACAATGAGTAGTCATATGAACGAATGAATGGCTGAAGATATAGAAAAATAATGTCTCGTTGTCATTTCTACCCCTAATACCTCCTACGTCCTCCAGCCTCTAGCCTCTAGATTAGTCAGTCTTTAGTCCCCTCAACTTCCAAGGAGTCCTATCGTAATTAGCGCTTGAATACCCCACACCATAGAACGATTTAGCCACAATCAGCAAGATGAACATGATGGCCGGCCAGCAGAAGGCTCGCCCAAACGGGCTGACGATAAGCAACATTAAGAGTGGCTGGAAATATAGTAGGTTATGGCATGTTGCTACACCAAAGCCTCTTGTAGGCTGTTTGCGGTTGCATAATGCATCCAAGCCATTGACACCATCCAATAAGGCTGCTTAGAATATCCAGAGACCCTAACTATACTCTTGAAAAGCCGCATTCCTATCAGCTGATATGGGTGTGCAGAAAGACACGGCGGTTGATGCCGCAAGCTAAGATGGGGCACCACGCGAACTCATTGGCTCAAAGGTACAGGACGGACGATGTCGCTGAAGTGGTAAAAAGGTAACAATATAGGGGCGTTAGGTAGTGGTCAACGAAAATTACATCTTAAATATTACTACTTAGTGATTAATTACCCTTAATAAATATTTACTTGGAGATTTGCTTCCTTGTCGCCGTTGTTCGTAAGACACGTATAAAATGGCTGGTCCTCAGATGACATGGTGAAATGCCCGATCCCACTCAGTCCAGAGCCCTCAAACAGAGACGGGCCCGGTAAAAAGCTCCGGCGAAAGACGACAGAGGCCTCGGTTGAGTCCAGCTATATACAGTTAGTAAACATGTATAGTATTCGGGGCATTTAGTAGTAACTCACGGTGAATTTGTAAACAAAATTAGTACGGCCCCCCATATCAAAGATCCCAGGGAAACACTCTGTTGATTTTCCATCAGTAGAGCCTTTAACCATGTACACTGAAGTTCCAGTTGGTTCAGGAATGGACCCTAGTGAAGTAGGCACTGGTGTGGCGGTTGTGATGACGGTACTAAATCCTGTGGGAGTTATAGACGGCAAGCTTGTAGAAGTTGGGCTAAGGTCGTCGTGTTGGCAAAAGCCACGAGCCGCGTCTCGCTTGCTTTTCGAGTCACCACTACAGGTGAACTTGCTGAACCCGTTATAGGCTACTGGGAAACCGCCGTCAACCTCAGAAGCCGGCATCTTGACGTACGCCAGCTCTTTCAACAGGTTCTTGACGTTTGCCGCGACTTTTCCTTTTACTTGGAGCCGTTCGCGATATTTCTCACTGCTCAGCCAGGTGGCGATCATTCCGGCCACTCTTGGTGCTGCAAAGGAAGTGCCGAAAGTGTGTCTCGTCTCCCACGTACTGTCTGTCCTTGCGCATTCGACTTCGCCCATCGCCAGCACGGTGACCTCGTCAATATCGCCTTGTGAATAAGATGCGCGGGCGCCATTGGACTTCATGGCACCGACGGCGATGATGTCTAGCTCCTTTGCGAACGCGGCGGGGAACCCGTCAATGTGCTCATACTCTTGGCGATCGTTTTCTGAAGCCACCACAACGGGGACGTCGAGATATATCAGGAGCTCCATCTGGTCTCTCATACTCTCGGCTGTGGCATCCCACCCGTCTTTTAGGACTTGGATGCCGAACGCTTTGCTCTTTGCAATGTCGACGCCAACAGTGTAGACAGACATGGTGACAACGGCCTTTCCCTCCAAACTTCTCTTCGCTATGTCGTCCGTCACCCAGTAGAGGGCCGTGATTATGTCAGAAGTAGTGAAGGGATCGGGGAGTTTGACAATGACAATGTCAGCGCCCTTGGCTGCGCCAAAACGGGGCCCGTTGACGAGGGACTGGACACAGCTGCCATGTCCCCTTTTGGTATCACTGTCCGACTGGAAGGTGTTCTTTGCAACGTACATCCAACGTTTGAGACCGGGCGACCCAGCGTATTCCTCGTGAGTTGGGTTTGCTCCGGTATCGATAATGTAAATTGTGATGCCTTTTCCTGAACTTGTAGGGTAAGCGTACCCGTACATATCATTGGGATCGTATGATGCATAATCAGCGGGTTGCGACAAGGCCTTTAACGAGGCATCTGCCCCTGGATCATAAAAGACGCCTTGGGATGCTAATTCGGGGCCAGGACCGAGAGGTGGGCTCGTTGCCCTGCCCGGGGTGGAAGGCTCATCTTCATCGTACCCTACGTCGGATTCGGGGAAGATCCAGGCTATATCCGTGTCGTGTAGGAGTTCTAGTTCCTTTGCTAATGTCGCCATAGTGTTGAAACGGAAGACCATTGTTTGGGTACCCTGCTCATCTTCTCTAAGATTCGCATCTATAGGTCCCATGACATACGGCTTCATTCGATCTTGAAGGGCCGTCCCAGCCTCGCGGGTCAACTCTTCAGTAACGACAACGTAGGGAATTAGAGGCGCCGAAGAAGCAGTTGCCGAAGACAAGGAAACCGTGATCGTGCTGGTACTTGTGCTTGTGCTTGTTCCCGTGTACGGGGCCGATGTCAGGGTTGGCTGGGGCTCCAAGGGCTTCGGGTCATCGGGCTCCGGATCATCGGGCTCCGGATCATCGGGCTTCGGTTCGTCCGGGAGTTCTCCAACTTTGGTTCCTGCAGCGGAGGAGCGTTTTGAGATAAGGGAGGTCATGCTGGCCGCGGGCGTCGTAACAGGTGGCGCAGGCGTCGACAATGTTACATTAGAATAGTGAAACGAAGCGGCAGCAACGACGGCCGCAAGGCAGAGCCAGGTGCTGAAAAGCCTTATGTTTGCCATGTTGGGAAATAGCGGCACGCTGACGGATGAAAGCGGGAAGAACGAAGGAATGGTTCAAGAGAACCAGGTATATGTTTTGAATAGAGTAACTGGAATGGTTGAAAAACGAGCAGGCTGATTCAGACGGTTCAATGAGTGGAATCGCAAAACATGTTGCGACATATGCGGAAAACAGCCGAAAACTAAGGATGGCTAGGAAGAAAGTGACACCATAGAGCCAAAGTTTGAGGGAAGATGAAAACAATTACAGCTGCGTAAGAAGGGGGGGGGTATAGGCAAGAACGTAATGCTTGTCATAAATTGTCAAGACTGTTAAGACATAGATGATTAGCCTTTGATACCAAGCAGATTGGAGATTTATTTATCAACTGTGAGTATATTAAATAACATTGACAAACTACTTAACGCACAGCTAGAGACTCACATACTTTCGATAGAAAATTCACAGCTATAGCTAAGCCCGAGCGGTGGACCAGTCCACAAAATGTAATATACTTCGATTTTGCAGTGCAAAGGTGCAAGGATGTACAGAACTCTATTTTAGAAAAGTCAAAGAGTCCAACGCACATTTCCAGGGTAAGGTCACATTTTCAAATGAACGAGCTAGAAAATGCATAGCAAGACGCGATTAATATGAGGCTTTTACCAAGGTTGATAAAGACGGTCTTGGACACGCCGGTGCATCACAACACGCCCATCCCGACGCACCAAGTTGAAAGAAGAAACTTGGAGGTCTCTACCTCCCCCTTCACATTAAAAGAAGAATAAAACAGAATTCGTCGTCAGACGAGGCTAGCAAAATAATGTGTCGACGTGTATAAGGATGTATTTGGCATGTCATCGGTCAGTTGACTCGGATACATCAAAGACAGTGAATCTTAGAGACAATCTGACAGACACTGTAGAGGCCGGTAATCAAAGACAGCGTTGAGCCAGTTAAAGATCAGAATTAAGAGATCTAGAAACCGCAGAGAAATGCCGATAGGCTGCTTAGAGAAGTCGATAAGCAGCTAGCTCAGTCGGTCGTTGTTGTTGTGTTACCGTATCCTCTGACTTAACTGAAAAACCGCATAGACCATACGCTAGACCCCTTGTAGAAAGCGGTCAATCTATTTCTACACACACCCACCCATGTAACCCTAACCCTTGCCGCCAAACTTGCTGCTTACGTAAATGACTCCCTGTATTTGCCACATCTAGATCCCTGTTTCTGCCACCACGCCAGCCCCTTTTCAGCAGCCCGCGGTCTGTGCGGATTTTCAGTTAAGTCAGAGGATACGGTATTCTACGCCTGGGACCTCTGGGCGCCTGGTGTGGCTGAATAGCTAACCAATACTGGCAAGCATCCCTGTCCACCTTCCACAATGCAAAGAGTAAGTACCCAACATCATCGACCACTGCCATGGCCAAGATTTCAACTAGATCGTACCGTAATGCCAAGTGCTCAAATGGCTCTTCAGCATCCAGGTACCATACGGTCCTACCCCTTAACAACCTCTAGCGGTTTAGGGGGGGTGGGGGGGGGGGCGTTCCGTGCAGATCAGTTAGTCATGTCTCAAAGCATAGGTCGAAAAACTTCGGTATAGAGGTCATCACCTACTACAACGCGCTATAGTTGGTGTCTGGGCGCCGAGCGCTCAGCACTTTGCTTCGGATAATCGGCAAATGCGCAGGCAAATTCTGGCTCCCTAGTTGGCCGGTTAAGACAGTTCACACCTTCAAAATCATAGCAATTTCGCTATGTTTCATATTCAGCATTTGTTTGCCATATGTGTCGCTAACTTTTCATGCTGTCTTATGAGACCCCAAGAGGAGCCTAAATGCGCTTTAGTATCTTGTACTAAAATTCGATACAGACACCGTCGCATACATGCTTATAATAAATATAAGGGCGTCGAATCAAGAGGCTTGTTACTTTGTCCTAATTCCTAGAGTCACTCCCGGACGACCATCCATTTGTGCGACGCTATCAGCAGATACATAAGTGGCCCTTCTTCTCCAGCGGGCTATTTACGTATGGGACAGGGAACCGGGGTGGATAATAGAGATTCAGATATCCCCCGCATCGCGGGCGATGCTCCCGTACCTGCAGCCGGGGGCAGGGACAACGCTAAGGGACACTGTGAGGACATCAATGCACAAGATCGCCTAGCTGCTAGCACTGTTGCGGACAACACGGGAAGTGCGGGTACCAGGGCGTGTCGCGTCACTGGCACCAGGGCAGGCCGAGAACAAGGAGGACTAAATGCTTCACTGATTTGCATAGGGAGGTGTGGGCAGTGCCGGGTGGACGATCGGTGGCGGAGTTCCCCGGGCTGGCGGCACGACAGCGGGCGACGATCCTCCGACAGTACTTTGTGCAGCTTGACCCCGTTATGGTACGAGAGAAGGATATGGTTAGGATACTATCCGTACGGCGGGAACATTTCCGACTACTGCTAGAATGCCTGCCGTCTTTCATGTTGGACAGGCTTGACTACACACTAATAATCAGCTTATGTGGTATGCACCGGTGGTAACAGCGCTACTGGTGACGAATACGACTGTCAGGTTGCGTAATACAGAATGTCCTACACCCACTGCTAATAATCCATCCATCTCTTTGATTCTACTTACTGACTAGACCAGAAATAAAAGCAAGACGAGACTGAAAGTACGGTAAGGCAGAGAAACTCCAGAGGAGACAACCAGGGCAGGGATAACAATGTTAAACAGTGAACTTGATAAAGTAAAACCAGCACAAGTTCTCAAAGCACATACTTTCGTCGTGAGAAAGCAGCGGCACCTCAAATGAGATAAGATTGGGTTATGCGGGAATACAGAGCGGGATAGAGTACGGAGTATTTGTTGTGATTAACCGCATACAATTAGGGGTTAGCAAGGTAAAGAGGAGTAACTTAAATTGAACTTTATGCATGGAATAAAGATGTTTTGCCTCCTTTCAATCTAACATTCTTTTGGTTAAGCTTCGGTAATACCGGTCATACCGGCACTACCGACGGCTGCCAATCTACAGGGCCCACTACTCGTGTTTTAGTGAAACTAATTAGCTGTTGGACAACCCAACTCTATTCCTAGTAAGACAAGCAAGCGATATTTGTAAGGCAGTAAGCAGTAATTCAAGGACTTGCCTATTCTACTATCCAAAATATACATATTGAATGCTTTTCTTCCAAAGTGACTCTTATCTAGGAACTACAATTCCTAAGAGTTACATACCTTCTATGTTTAAAGCATTTTACCAGCGTTTATATAATAGTCCAGCTCTTTATTGCTCCTTTTTTCTTTTAGGTATATTCACCAAGTTCCAAAGCTAGGTATGCTCTTATTTAGTCTGAAGCACCTTGTGCTACTGATCAGCCTATCGAATGTCACACTGGCGCTTAAAACTCTAATCGGCTATCGACGAGTGAACCGAGTAAGCATCGCATACGTCTTGGATGACAAGCTGCCCAGTTATCTGATTGCCAAATAGCTCGAAGCCTTCGAAATCAACCAGCGAAGAAATATCTTCCGAGATCCCGCGCGGGATGACCTCGCAAATCGGAATCAAGCTGCCCAGATTGGTAATGGTGTTTACCTCTCTATGACTGTGAATGGCTACGATGGTGAGCGGAACGACTGGTAAGCAATATATGTGTAATCTTGGATGTGCGGCGTGAGTTGAAAGCTAATTAAGCATACGATATCTTCAATAGGTGGTGTTATGTTTTAGCGGAGATGGGCCCGCTTGGTCAGGCACCAAAAGTTTGGATCCCCAAGCGTTTATGGGATAAGCCCGAGATCAACACTGCGGCCTATGTACAAGGGCATTTAAACGAGCCGGAATCCCCGGACTACGCCTTAAGGCTGTCCCAAACAAAGGGTTACCCCAGCGGGTATATCCAAATGTTAATACCTACACGAATGGTTCAGGACAACACATTGGGTACTAGCGCTTATTGTTATAGGAACAGACAAGAGCTGCCCTATCACCAACCTGTTTCATACGACTGGCGGAACTTCCGCAACCATCAATAATATCCTAGGAAATGTTAAAGAAGGCAAGGAGTGTATATACTATTTGATAGGCGAAACGGCCCCCCGATCAACACGTAGTTATCTGAGTGATGTCTGTCTCTAACCGGCTGTGATGTTTTCATGCCCCCTTGAAGTTAACTTAGTTGGTGTCCATTGCCTGAATTTAGTATGCTGTTTGGCTGCGTAAGGTGGCCTGGATAACATCAGCAGCATCATGGCTGTTCCTGACCTCGGCGCCGACGTGGAGTGGTCCTATAGGCCGAACATGGAAATACTAAAAAAAGAAAACCACCCTGGCCGTTTTCTATTCAGATAATCCTGAAATTTCCAATGTTCTAGCCTAGCCCCGCACAGCCAGAAGCTTGCAGTTAACCTTACTTGGGCACATAGCATATCGGGATCGGGCGGTCAGTTTTCAAGCCAAGTCAGAAACCGTGCCATATGGATTGTTGGAGACAGAAAAACCGTAGCAAGGCGAACGGCGCCACAAATTACGACATGGCCGGAACGCCTGAAAAGGTTCAGCGAGGCCCTGGTTAATCATCGGGGGCTCCTTAGGGGCCGAGTCCGCCAAGGTCAGAAAACAAGAGAAGCAAAACCACAAGCAAGGCACGGGACAATGGGACCAAATGTAAGCCAGCTCTCCACAGCTAGCTGTTTCATGAATGCACATACACGGAACTTGGGTGAAGTTAACATCGGAACTCCCGTGCCGGCATTGACGTCTGCTACATTGTCATCATTACGGAAGGGCCACAGGATGGACAGTCGGTAAGCTTGGTGTAATACTTGGACACAAAGTAGACCCACAATTGCCGTGCTGCAATATCACCTCGTGACACTTGGGATTGAGCCTCGCATCTATTTCCTCGCTACTACGAACATTTTTGGAGTGTCAAAGACGGATGGCCTTCTACGTGTGGTCGTGGAAAAGCTGTGTGTCACCCCCGCCCAGATGGAGAACTGGGACCGGGATATGCAGCCTCCCGCTCGGGAGGGTATAACTCAAATACCCTGCGTATGCACCACCCCCACATCTGCACCACTAGCACTACCACTTTCTTCCTACTTTTACTACCTATATTACTAGGCCTATAGGTAAACAACTTATATATAGCATAATATAAAGTAAAAAGATTTTTTTAGAACTTTTTTCAGCTTACTAAGCTTTTTATATAAGTAATAAATAAAGTTAATTCTTAAAATAAAAGTATTTATTAAAAAATAAAATATAAATTAGTATAAGTAGCTAAAAAACTATATAAAAATATAGTAAAATACTAAAGTAATTATATTACTATAAAAGTATATTACTAAGCTTATAAAGACTAAATAATAGTCTATATATATAATAATAGCTTTAGTATTATAATAAAACTACTATATTCTTAAGTATTTACTAGTTTTTTATATTATATACTATAAATATAAGTTATTAAAGTATATTATAAGAATCTACTTAAAAATTAGTATAGTATAATATATATCTTAAGTTATATAACTTATAATATTATTATTAAAAGATTTTTTAAAAGTAAAGTATAACTATTACTACTTTAACTTAGTATTATAGTTCTATTATTATATAGTATAGTAAACCTTCTATATACTAAGTAGTATATTAGTACTATAGTATATAGTATAAGTAAAAAAAATTTATTTTTTATATATAGCTAAATATTCTAAAAATTATATTTTTTTAGTTTTATACACTATATAAAAAGTAAGTAAATTTATATATAGTAGCTATATATACTATATATAGTACTCTTATATATATATAAGCTATAATAAAGCTTATACTATTTTTTATAGATTTTTAGCTTTACTATATAAGTATTTATTAAGATTTCTAGAGTTTTAGAAAATACTAAGATTTTCTTAGTAAAAAAGAATCCTTAAGTATTTACTACTAGTACTTAGTTATATAAAGGTCTAAAAATAGTATATATATATAAGAAAGTACTAATAGAACTAAAGTATTTTATAAGATTTTTTTCTTAAATTTTATAGCTTAACTATAGTAGATTCCTAAGGCTAGAAAATATAGTGTATTTTGGTGGGAATCCACTGTTTTGGAGTGGTGCAAATGTGGGGGTGGTGCATACGCAGGGTATTTGAGTTATTGGCTTTCTACCTCGTAGAGCATGAGGATTGTGACAGGGGAAATTCCAGCCACGTATCAATAAGCTGGGAATCCCCGAGTCTATGTTCATGGCTCACTATGCTAAGGCGGGCTGACCCAATAGAACAGCTTTCGGTGTCGACCTATGGAAACCGATGAATAGGGGCCGGTAGGATAAGATGCAGGTGATGGAAACAAGCTCGATTGTAGATGGAGAGGGAAATGTCATATTACGAAATATCAGTTATTCCAAGATGATTTTACGCACAACACTCAAAGCTTGACTTTACAGGACCGCCTAGTGACTCGTAGGCTTGAGAGAGCGGCATAGACAGTAGATAAGTCAAAGCACCCGCTTTCCGATCACCCCCACTTGGCGATCACCGATTTCCCACCAAAATACACTAAAATACACCAAAACTACTCCTTTTTACTATAGCTATAACAGTACAACCCTAGCTTCTATAATTCTATAAAAATTATTATAGTTAGTTAAATACTTACTTTTACTATACTAGGTTTTTTACTTTATTTTAGCTAGTATAGTTTAAGATATAGTACTTTATATAAAAAAGTACTAAAATACTAGTAAATTATAATTAGCTATAACTTAGTATTTACTATTAGTATAAGCTTTAAACTTTATAAATAGCTTTTCTATATAGTATATTAAGTAATTATATTTTTTATATAATATATTTATCTTTATATAAGCTTATATATTAAAATTAAAATTTTTCTTATAAAGTTTTCTTAGTAAAACTTATATTTAAGTATATACTATAGTATAACTTAAATAATCTACTATATAAGCTAGCTATTATATACTTTATACTATAAAGTAACTATATAAAATATTATAGGTTTTTTTACTCTATAGTTCTAAAGTTATATAGATTTTTATACTGTTAAAGAATACTAGTAAAATATACTAAAACCTTAACACTTTTACTACTTTAGCTTTAAGTAACTAATACTCTACCTATACTTAGTAAAAAAATTATATAACTAGTATATAGACTTTATATATAATTCTCTATATATACTAATTTTCCTAGAATTATTAAGACTTGTCTTATATAGTTAAAGCTATAGTGAAAAAGAGCAGTTTTGGTGTAAATAGGTGATTGCAAAGTGGGGGTGATCGGAAAGCGGGTGCTTTGACTTACTATTAAGGCCAAAATCTGCTTTACGGATAATGATGTCGTACTACCTTATGTATGTACTTGCGATCTTGTCCACGTAGAACCGATTGAGCGCTGCTTGATACCTGACATCCCATCCCAGTAATCGCTCAGAAATAGATCACCCTTCCCTTACAATGAGGTGAACCAGCCGACTCTGCGACCCCGGGAGCATCAATTTCTGAAAGTGAAATCTCGAGTGTTTTCTTGATCCGTTGATTTGGGAATGGTACATGACCAGACCTACCATGACCACAGAGAGTGACAACATGACAGTAATGGCAGTCCAGCCAGTTGGCAATAGGGCAAGTTGCTAGATCTAAATAGTTGACCTTCTACGATATCAGTAGCATTGGCAGACATGATGAATATCGCCTGCATTAAACGACAAAGTCGGGGTCAGCAAGGTTTAAAAGTACTTAGTATGAACCTGGACCAATCAACTCAATTTTACTCTCTGTATTGTCTGGTATCATGTACCCTGTTGCCAAGAATCAATATCATCCCTCAGATTGATTGATACTAATATTAGGAAGAGGTTGGTATGGTCTTTCAATGTGGATTGGCTTGTTAACTGCTTACCAAGTCTTGGCGAAGCAAACAATCTCACACTTCGTTCTGCCTGATCACATGCGTATTCTGCTAACTGAACGGCTCCGGTCTACGCTAGGCAGAATTTCCTACTCGCCTTGCTCATTGTTTTTGTTTGGCTCTGGGTTTATGTGTCCGGAACCGCTCGCTGAGAAGTGGTTGCGTCTTTGGCAATTAGTCTGCAGATGTCGTGCCACTTCACCGAAAGTACTAAGGAAAGCTTATGCTCCGCTCCGCCGACATTTTGGATCCTGGTCACAGCCGCCATCAGCTTGGCGGCACATGCACATCTCCAGAAGTTGTGCAATACAGTACGGGTGCACCATCGCGTTGAACACCTCTCAGGCTCTGATCAAGAGCAGATCGCTTAGCCGTTGGAGCTCGAGCGTTTCTTTCGGCGTTCTTCTGGATGCTTTGGCAATATAGCTTGGATTGACTGGAGTTTCCAATCCATAGTGACACAGTGTCCCCCAACAGCAAACTGGATGGTCAACTGCGCAAGGATTCCTTGTTATGAGGTTCTCTATTTTTCATCTTCTGGGCGAATTGCTGGAAGCTTCGAAGCTATCCGGCGTTAGGGGGGGGATTGATTGAATTTTCCACTACCACGGCACGAGATTAATAAGGTATCATGTCACAGCGCTTTCTTCATTAAAGTTTAGCACATTGTGCGTAAGAAATTTCAACTAGGTTGTGTACCATTGAAATGTAACCGAGGTAGTTTTCGGACCTCAACATGAAGACCATAAGTGTGGCCAGTTGCAGGGCGTTAGTTTCTTCCCCCATCCAGCGGTCTCCTCTTGCCACGAGAACGAACTTCTCTACATATAAATCTGAAATCAAATATTGGCACTTCAACCAAAGAGTTAGATGAAGTTGCTCACCTGATCTACTATAACTAAGCTTGGAGTACTACTTTGGTCTTGAGCCATGATTTAAAAGGGTGCCCCGAGGCGTTTTGTAGTACGTATCCCCGTGCGACACACTCACCAGCTAGGATGATGCCAGTTCAGGAACCCATATGCGCCAATCATGACAGTTTCGTATGATTTAACATTGATACAGTATTTCTAACATGTTCTGGGACGCGGGTGGCAAGCTTCTGAAGTTCATCGGCTACGAAGCGCCGGTCTTTGACATTGCCTTGCCGAGGTTGTGAGAATATTGTGATAATGAGGTCATTAATCTA